CTCCGCACCATGGAGGGACCCCTCCACCTCCACCTCCACCTCCAGGCACAGGCGCTTCTTCAACGTCAACGTCCTTATACCGCCGCCGCGCCACTCCTTCTCCGACGCCGCCGCCGCGCCCGCCGCGCCCGCCGAGCCCACGCCCAGGCGCAGGCGGATTATAGCCTCCGAGCCGCCGCCTCCCGCCGATGCGCGCCGCCGCGACAGGGAGGCCGAGCTGTCCGCGCTCGCCTCTGCCACGCGCCCCGTTGCCGCCCGTGCCGCCGTCTTCCGCGCGCCCTCGCCGGCGCCGTCCGATGCCTCCTCCACGACCACCGCCGGCCCGGACCTGCCGCCGTCGGGCCCGCGGGCGTCCTCGCTCATCCAGCGCTGGCGCGAGATCGAGGCCGTGGGGCCCGTCACGCCCCGCGTCTCCGGCGACGTCACCTCTGAATCCGATGGCTCGCCACGCCGCCGCGTCGGATGCATCGTCAAGAAGCTCAGCGGGGCTGCCTCGCTTCCGGAGGAGGACCTGGAGGCCGCCAATAACGAGCTCCCGCTCTCGCAGTCCGCGCCTCCGTCGCCGACCCAGCTGCGCAACGCAGTCGAGTCGCTCGCCCTTCATATCAAGGGCACTCGGCCGCCCAAGCTGGTGGTCAGGACGGTACGCGGGCGCCGCGCAGTGGAGGAGCTTGTCGCTCGGATGGCACATCGCCGCAGGCGAGAGCTCGCTGCGCTCGCGGATCGACACGCCGTCTCTCGGTTCGGGCACAAAGGCAGGATCCAGGTAAATTCGTATTCCATCAAAAAAGTTCACGTTGCATCCCTCAAAAGAAAAAGAAAAAAAGGTGGCGGTGGGTAGATGCTTTGTGATTTGTGAATGTCACGTGTCATTCATCAGGATGAGTCTCGTCTGCTAACCCGTGAGACCTGGTCTCATAGAATTCTTTTCCTATACAGTACTACTCCATCAACCATGAATTAATGATCAGTGACGCATTTTTTTTAGTATCGTTTTGGAAACATTATTTAAGACGACCAAAGAAGTGTGAGTTGTTGGTTTTAGACCCGCAAGGATGGGGCCGGAGAACTGTTTGGTAGATCGGTTTCCCAACTGGCATTGCTGATCAATGGCATGTGCAAATTCCATAATCATGCTTTATTTCGGCTCAACCAAAAATAAACGGGAATGGTCTAAAAACTTGACAGCCCCTTACATGTTATAAAGTGACCATCAAACTAGTTAGTGATCTTATTTGTGACTCTGGTGGATAGTCGCAAAAGCTTGACCAAAAGATCCGATAATGTTGCTCATGGAAACTCTAGTACCCTATAGCCGCTCATGACCTTTACAGATCTGTTTGTATGTCATCATGAATGAGAAAGGTTAACATACGTAGTAGTACTTTCAATGGCAGTAATATGCAACTAATTTGCTGGTGACAGCGGAGCAACGTTCAGTACAGTTTTTAGAACGGAGGCGCTTGCCGGCCTTAGAATGAGGCCCTTACGTTCAGTACAGTAGGATGGGCGTTTCAATGGCAGACTGATTGAGGTTATGGCTTGGATCCCTGAAAAAGGGGGCTATAGTTTGCACCCCTCAAAAGAAAAAGAAAAAAAGTTGTGGCTTCTCATATCTGATGGATGAGATGTCACGAGTGAATATCATCTCTGGTTTGTATCATGTGGAGATTCTGAGTGCTGCACAATTGTGGCCAACAAGCCAAACAAACCATACCACATGACTTCACAGGTTACTTGCTATAGCATGTACCAGGGACATAAATATGAGTAATGGCTGGGCAGTTTAGTTTTGCAAAGTACAACGCAAATTTCAATTCTTCTTAATGGCATCACCTTTTAGGTTGTGTTTTTTTTCCTGCCATACCTTCAGTTACTTAGAAACTTTTTTGTTTTTTGTTTTTCCTTTACTCCAACTCCAGCCAATATTGATGTGCGGTGGTACCTAGGAAAAATGAACTTTTAACTGGACAAGGCAGTGACAGCGTGGTTGTGAACAATTGCCATCCTTGAAAGCTGTTCTTGTTTGCAGAAATGTGGTGCATGCATTTCATTGCTTAACAGAGTTCCCTCCCTCAACATATTCCTGGCATTAGCAACTAACTTAAATAAAGATTCTTTTTTTCTTTCATTATTCCTTCCTCCGGGGACAAGATTATTCTTCCCTCTACTGCAAAGTCTGTTAAATACCATAGTACTTGTCTGCTCGCATGAACTCATTTACTTACTCCCTGGAAGATTATTGGCATGGTATTGGTATCTGTATTCTGTCCTATTTCATGAGGCCCTACTTTTTTTTCTCCCGTCCTTTTGAAGCATGTTTATGCAATCACCACTGCTTCTCACCTTAAACTGTTCTTTGATATCCTGCAGTCCATGCTTCGTCTAAAGCTGCTGCGTCACGGAGATGCTATTAACGATGAAGTGTGGAATCTACTAAGACCGGTTAGGCCACACCCACCAAAATGCAGACCTGAGGCATCGAGGTATTAGCACTTCTTTTTTCTTTTACTCCCTCCATAAAGAAATATAAGAGCGCTTATAGATCACTAAAGTAGTGATCTAAATGTTCTTATATTTCTTTACAGAGGGAGTACATAAGATGGCTTGAGACAGTTTTGGTGGATAAAAAGGATTTCTGAATTATTCTTTTAACCGCAGTAACTTCTACATGTTTGTCTTACCTGGTCTTTTCTTAGACGGAAATGTTAACGCCCACACGTGTGGGCGTTAGCCAACTCACCCACACGCCTCCATCACCGTCCAGTAACTTCTGCACGAATCTTGGCACGAATTAGCTGATTTTGTATGCCACGTAGGACAACTCGCGTGTGTGGTGTGTGAGATAGGTCGCCCACACATCCGTTTTACCACACGGAGGGGCTGGTGTGTGGGCGTTTAGTAGTTCGCCCACACACCAGTTTCAGTCACGCACAAGGGCTGGTGTGTGGGCAGTTTGCCATCTCGCCCACACGCCCGCCTCCTCTCCCACACCTAAGCTGCCAGTTGCCATGCGTTTTGCAGTGTACATGGCAACTGCCCTAGTGTGATTGCAAGCAGATGGCAACTCTCTTTTTTTTACCCGAACATGTTAGTTGCCATATGTTTGGCATGGTACATGGCAAACTGCCCTAGCGTGCACGTAAGCAGATGGCAACTCTTTCTTTTTTAAATGGCAACTGCCCTAGCGTGCTTGTGAGCACATGGCAACTCTCTCTTTTTACCCGAACGTTTTTTGTCATGCCTTTTTTTGTAGCGCTACATGGCAACTGCCTAGTGTTAGTAGGTGGCAACTCCTAAAGTTTTGAAATCATGGCAACTGCAGTAGACCAGACCACACATGGCAACAACTGTAGTTGTCCAAAAAATGGCAATCTGGAACTTTGACCTGAGATGGCAACTGCAGTTGAGCAAACATGGCAACTGTAGTTGTCCGACATGGCAACCGTAGTTCAGCGACATGGCAACTGCACTTAAACGAACATGGACGAGGGTCCGGCCCATGGCAACTGCGGGGCGCACGGTAAAGTGTCACGTGGGGCGTGCGGGCCTGACGTACCGGGCGTGTGGGCGTTATCTATTTCGCCCACACGCACGCGTGTAAGAGGGACCGGGAGGGAAAAAAAGAGGCGTGTGGGCGCTAGTTGTTTTGCCCACACACAGATGTGTGGGCTGGTCCTCTTAGGCACCAGACAAAACGTGTGGGCAGATTTCTTAACGCCCACACGTGTGGCAGTTAGCGGCGTCCTTCTTAGAATGTCACAACACATTTAAGTCTGTAGTATGCTCTTGATGATGCATAGTAAAAGAACTTACATGTCATGTCTGCAATTTCTGATGGACAGAGACGATAGCAGCAAGACAGATTCACAAGATGCAAATGAATGTAGTCTGCAAAATAATAGGTAAACTTACTGTTTCAAATAGCTTAGATGGAGAAGTTGGGTTTGTCCTTGGTCGTATCTATTTAGTACTCCCTCCGTCCCAAAATAAGTGTCTCAACTTTGTACTATCTCTAGTACAAATTTATACTAAGCTTGAGACACTTATTTCGGGACGGAGGGAGTAATTGCTTTCCGCCTACTCTCACGTATGCCTAAAGCAATACTTGTTTTCACGAAGTGCAGGGCTGATGAACAACATAGTGATGATAGAAATCCATCTGCGGAGAAGTCTATTGGGCTAGCAATTGAGAGCCTTGTTAACTCCGACGGTTCAGGAAATCGACAATATGATGAGAAGATAGACACAAAGGGAAATCAATGTCAGGAAGATCGTGTAAACTTGGTAAACTCGTGTGTTCACTATCAAGAAAGTTCTAAAGCTTCAAACTTTGCAAGGTACGATGATCATCGTGTTGTCTACGATAATCAATATATGGATGATATCTCCCCAAGTACCATAAGCACATCGTGTGAACTCCAAGAAACTCCTTCATCAAGAGGTGAAACTTTACGAGAAGAAGACAACCAAAGTCTGAATGGTTCTTGGGACGAGAGAGCACTATGGATGAGCAGTCTTGGTTGGCCTGCACCAGTAGATTCCATGAGTCCGGACAGCTGGCATCAGGGCACAATTGGTGATATGGAGAATCATAATCAGATTGAATTTAATGATCGGCCTTGGATAGACTCCCCTAACTCATGGAGATCATTGCATATTGCCACACAAGCAGACTGTCGAGATTTGTCTGGCAATGCTGATATTTGTAATCTTCTTGAGAGGTAATTTCCCTCTAATTCCCAGTATATGTTTTGCACATCTCCACTTGCGCAGCTAGATGCACTTAGGTTCACTCCAGCAAAACTTTTTTTTATGAAGACATACTGAGATGCAAGTGTTCCGTGAAACTTGGCTAGCCTACCAATAAAAAGCCACTAAAGCTTAAACAAGCTTAAAAGGCATTTTTTTATTAGAAGAGATCACCAAGAAGGCGTAAAATACAACACCACAAGCATGGCTGCGACCAAAAACCAAATCACTAAACAAAATTACCCCCCCCCCCTTCCCATAATGTAAGACGTCTCACATTATGGGACGGAGGGAGTAGAAGACAAATAAACTGCCAGGCTATCCTAACAAAATGACAAGAGAAACAATAAAACAAATAGGCTAAACAAGCTTGAACATTAGACATGTTATATATACCGTATTATGACCTTTTTAAACAAGGTTATCGCATATGCCCCCTTGCAGGTGGCAATCAGCGTCAATAATGAGCGTCCCCTATTTTTATTTTGTCAACCGTGACATTTTTGTTTCTTCCATGCAGCAAAAAGGTCTCAAAGTCCCTTGATAGTGATTTTAGCAATAAAATGAACCATCTCCTGAGAGCAATTCTGCAGAAGCAAAGACAACAACACATGATTGATGAATTTGGGGGTTACTATCCGGAAAACTTATACTGGCAACAGAATGATGAACCCCGGAATGAAGATCAGGTGTCATCTGCACCGTGTTCATTAGCACCTGTCTCCCATGTCACAGCCCACCACCAAGAGAATTGGCAGCACTCATCATTTGAACATCAACAACATGAAAATCAAAATTTGTTTGTGAGTCAGCTGCTGTTCAATGTCAATTGTGGAAAGACATATTCTTACTATGTTGTCTGTTACAGGAAATGGAGGTCAGGGTAAGAAGTGAAATGGCCCAGATTCATCATGAAATATATGAACTACGTAAGTTGGCGGAAACTTGTATTGCATCCCAAGTAAAGATGCAGCATTCCATTAAAGAAGAGGTGTGCAGCGCACTTCGAGAAGCTGGTGAGTTGCAACAAAAGTTTTTTTCTATGTCTGTGCCTCTTCTATATCTGGTCCTGTTCAGCATAAAATAGGATGAAGTTGCAGTTTCTTTTTTATTTGGAAAAGAATTTTGCATTGAAGGCAATATGTCTGGTGACATGTGAGCTAGTTTTGCTTAAAAGGCTAGCCAGATGAAATCTTGAAAAAAAGGACCACAGCTACTTTCGAGTGGCACTGTTTGGAAAAGAGTCACTCTGGTCTTCTAAGCAAAACAATATATTCTGTTCTTCTTGGGCTGGACCACTCTCATGGCATTATATATACGTGTGACGCTGCTTAAATCTTGGCGTGTCAGGTTTTGTAATTCAGTCTATTGAGTACCATCTGAACTTGGATTTGTTTTCCGTTTACCACTACCCCACAGTAGCTCATTGACATTTTAGTTCTACTCATAATCATCAATTTTTTTTCTTAAGCCTGATGCAATCTTTGAACAGGGTTGATGCCAAGCCAGCCTGACATAACAGCAAAAAAGGGCACGTGCTGCATCTGCCATGAGATGCAAGTTGACTCTTTACTGTACAGGTAATAATGATTTGCAGGAACACATTAACCTTGAATTGTCGTGTGGAGTCTTGCTAACCGAATTGATGTTCATTCAGGTGTGGCCATATGTGCACCTGCTTCAACTGTGCTGATCAGCTGAAATCAAGCAGCGGGAGTTGCCCAATCTGTCAATCTCCTATCGACGATGTTGTTCGGGCTCACCTGAATTTTTGAGACTTAGGATTTAGGAAGAAGAAAGAAAATAAGCCGACACTCCCAGCTTTAGAAGTGGAGTTGGTGAAGCCCTGGTTTTGAGGAGGCTTCTTGCCTTTTGTTGACCACTAAAAACTATAGGAGCTAGGTTTTCTCGAGAAAATGTAAATATGTTTTGTGCAACTGCGACACGTGTTGACTGGGAGGCAAACATAGATCTAATCAAAATGCTGGTCTTGTTTCTTTTGACTCCTGTTTCGGTTGATGTACCGTACCATTTTTAGTTTTGTTCTTTCAGAAAACGCAAAAGCCTCACGTTTTGATCTGTAGAAGAAGAGGCTCAGTGAGAGAGTGGCATCGATCTGTACAAGCATAGACCACAACGCACTCGATTTGGATAAGCCCAACTTCTTCATCCTTTGCAGCGGCATGGTTCTTGGCCGCAGCATTGTGCGGCACGGGCTCATCACCGCGCATCTCTGGTTGTGGCACGGGCCGCCATCCTTGCATCATTGGCACGGCGCAAGCGTCCTTTGCCGCAGCCATGGTCACGCCATGTAGTAGTGTGTGGCAGCACTCCCAGCAATGCTAGGCCGCCGGTCACTGTCCACTGCTCGCCGCATCACTGGAGGCTGATGCAGCATCCCGTACTCCAGCTTGCAGCAAGTGCCCATACCGCTTGCAATACCTAGTGTATCCGTTTGCGGTAGCCATCATCGTCGCTTGGAGCATAGCAGGAGCCAGCGTTCGGTTTTAGTAGCGCAGTAGCAAAGCAGGCAGCCCCTCAGAGTCCGATGATTAGTGACGGTCATGGTCCGACAATATATAGATGGAAGCATAGTTAAAAAAACCGGAACCAGGGATCCCAACAGTTCTCTAAGCTTAGCAGACCATTCAAGCAATCGAACAAAAAAAACTGGACGAACTGGGCGGTTTTTGTAAAACCCGATGAATCGGGCGGTTTCAAGAAAACCTAGTGTTTTTGGAGAAGCCCCTCAATCCACTCGATTTCATGCGCAGAAGCTGGGGGTAGAATTGGAAGAGAGAAGAAGCCCTCTTTTGTAGGGTTTCGGACGAATTGGGAGGGCTTCCCTCGATTTTGTGCAGAGACCCCCATACGTCGCCACCTCTCTGGCCTGGCGCCGCCGCCACCCTTGCCTGGCGCTTTGGTGCAGCGACGCCGCCTCTGTCTCTCCCTCAGTCCCTCTCCACCACAGTCCCTTATTGTGAGCAGCACTAGGCCACCAGCCCCCGCGGCCACTCCCGCTGTCCCGCCGCCACTGTCTCTGTTAATTGTTTGATGCCCGTGGAGAGGGGACGGTGCCGCCTGGTCTCCCGTCCTACGCAGCTCCGGCGCCCCATTCAAATCGACGACCAGGCCAGGCCTCCCTCCGGTTGTCTCCCCTCATGGCGGCCTCACTTCCAGACCTCCGCCGACCTCCGCTCGGCTACTATGTGATGTTGAGTGCTGCTACTTACTAATTGCTATGTGAAAATTGAAATTGTGAATCAGTGATGTTGGTTTGATGTTGCTTGCTGCTATACACTGTACAGGCTAATTGCTACAGTACTACTTATGTTGATGTTGCTCTATTGCTTGACTTGCTAATTGCTACTCCCTCCGTCCCATAATATAAGAGCGTTTTTGACACTACATTACTAAATTAGTACGTTAGAGCTAGAGATTATCATGTGTATGAATTAGATATTAACATGTAGTTCTGGTTACTCTATCAAGTGAGTACATATTTTGTTTCTATTGATTGGTGTATTTATTAATAAAATGGATATTATTTTATTGCTTAGAAAACCGACAATCGAACCGGTGACCCGACGGTCCGATCGGTAAACATCTGAACCGGCATCCTTGCCGGACCGGTTCAGTTTTTTAAACTATATGGAGGAGGTGAGAGACGTGAGCGAGGTTTGAGAGGGGGCGAAGGCTAACTGGACGAGAGATATTCGGGGAAGGAGATGGTGAATGTGTGGACGAAAGCATCGGCTGGCTAGATAAGGAGCAGTGGAGTGTCCAGTAGGGCCCGGGGGCATGTGTCGAATGCTCATGGTGTACAAAATATGCCCTAGAGGTAATAATACATGTTATTTATTTCCATGTTTGTAAGTAATGTTTATTTTCCGTGATATAATTGTAATGGTTCTTGAATATGGGATTTGGAGAAAAACTCATTTGCATGTGTGGAAACATAAACACATAATATGTTCCTAGTCATGTCTCCAAGACTAGCTCGTTGTTGCATAATGATCCCGTTTTACTGGTCAATGGGCATTGTTAAAGTAACAAGGATGCTGGCAATAAAGAGAGTACATTGTTATCGGAACAATGGTGTTGAAGAGACTCAACCGAGGTGTCAACATATACTCACTTTCTTGGACTATGAGAGTATCGAGTACCTTCATGCTAGATGGTGTGCTTGGGGTTCGTCAAACATTACCCGTAACAGGGTGATTATAATGACAACTTTAGGGTACATCGAATGTGTCAAGGGACTTGTTATCTCAAGATGGAATTTGCTCCTATGACGATGTAGAGATATTCTTCAGGCCCTCTTCGTATTTTGGTATCCATCATCGTTTGGCTAGACACAACGTAATATAATCACGGGGATGTTGGAATACAGAAACAAGAAAAAGAATAAAATCGGTAACAAGGATAACTTCGGTAGCGTGATCAAGTTATTGCTTCATACGGAGACCAAAGGTCTCGCCTTGGGTTTGTTAAAAATCACAAAGCAAAGCAAATGGTGCATGGGAACAAAAGGTTCAGTTGATAACTATTCATGTAAGTGTGAGAGCCAATATGAATGCCGAGATCCACTATTGGTTATTGACCGGAAGGAGTTCAGGGTCATAGCTGCACTTATCAAACCAGTGGGGTCACACTCTTAAGGTTCATCAGTTTGTTGAGTATTGGAAGTGTTGGGAGCGTGATAGAAATTCACCAAAAAAGTTTTCGGAAGACCTAAAATGTTTTGGAGAGAATACCAAAAGTGTTTTCGAGAAAACCGAAGAGTTTTTGGAAAAACCAGGAAAGCCTCGGAGGACCCAAATTGACACTGGAAGATCCAAGAAGGTTTTGGAATATTCTGGAACCTTTCAGAATGTTCTAGAGGGTGTCGTGGGATGTTTCCTTGGCTAGGTCCAAGTGGAGGTAGCCGCATGGGCCCTATAGGCCCAATAGTGGGGTGTCTCTTTTTGGCTTGGAGGCCAAGCCTCCTTTGGCGGCTAGGGTTTGGGGGGCCCACCACTTTAGTGCGTCGACCTAGGAAGGAGGCAAGCCCTCTGTCGGTGTCAAAACCAACAGATCTCGGGTAGGGGGTCCTGAACTGTGTGTCTAAGGCTAATGGTAACAGGAGACTGGGGACACGATGTTTTACCCAGGTTCGGCCCTCTCGATGGAGGTAATACCCTACTTCCTGCTTGATTGATCTTGATGATATGAGTATTACAAGAGTTGATCTACCACGAGATCAGAGAGGCTAAACCCTAGAAGCTAGCCTATGGTATGATTGTTGTTGATGATGATTATGGGTCCTACGGACTAAACCCTCCGGTTTATATAGACATCGGAGGGGGCTAGGGTTACACAGAGTCGGTTTACAGAGGAGGAGATCTACATCTGAATCCTCAAGCTTGTCTTCCACGCCAAGGAGAGTCCCATCCGGACACGGGATGAAGTCTTCTGTCTTGTATCTTCATAGTCCAACGGTCCGACCAAAGTATATAGTCCGGCTGTCTAGATACCCCCTTATCCAGGACTCCCTCAGTAGCCCCTGAACCAGGATTTAATGACGATGAGTCCGGCGCGTAGATTGTCTTCGGCATTGCGAGGCGGGTTCTATCTCCGAATACTCCAAGATAAATTCCGAACACAAGGACCGTGTCCGGCTCTGCAAGATAGAATTCCATATACCACCGTAGAGAGAATAATGATAATCCATGAATCTAATCTACTGACAATTCTTTGAAAAGTGACATCACGCCACGGCCCGGTTTTTATTCGAACCGTTTTCTACAACCTGCTTCCGCACACATCACAAGGCAGTTTCTTTGGCACGTCTTGTCAAAGCAGAGATCGTGTCCCCTTATCACGGGATCTCCATCAATGCGGGTATGGGTAACCCAACCAGCGCCAGTAGTCGAGGCGCTTGGAAAAATAAGAGACTTAGAGAGGTAAGTGGGGAGGCGTACATTCACATCGCCTTTATAAAGGGGCAGAACTTTCTCGTTTTCACCCACGCCTTCTTCTTCCTTTGCTCATCCGTTCTCGCACCCTCGAGCTCCAGCACCCAAGTTCTCACCTTCTCCGTAAGGCCGCAGCATGTCCAGAGCGGGAGGCAAGTGGATGGCCTCCTCTGTCATAGAGGAGAACATTACCAAGCTTCGGGAAGCCGGATACCTAGCCGCTAATATCGCGCACAGGCTTCCAACAGAGGGACAGATTACCCCTACACCAAAGTCTCGGGAGAGAGTGGTTTTTCTCCCTCATTTCGTCCGCAGACTAGGGTTTCCACTCCACCCTTTCGTCTGCGGGCTCATGTACTACTACGAGCTAGATTTTCATGATCTGGCCCCGAATTTCATCCTCAACATCTCGGCGTTCATCGTCGTGTGCGAGGCCTTCCTCCACATCAAGCCTCACTTCAGCCTGTGGTTGAAGATCTTCTGCGTGAAGCCGAAGATCGTGAGCGGCCAACAGGCGGAGTGCGGAGGTGCCATGGTGGGCAAAATGCCCAATGTTATATGGCTCGATGGCTCCTTCGTGGAGTCCATAAAGGGGTGGCAACCAGGATGGTTCTACATCACCGAGCCGCGCGACGCCAACTAGGTGGCGGCCCCCAAATTCAGATCCGGAATCCCCACGCGGCTCACCTCTTGGGAGAAGAAGGGCCTGGCCTGGGGCGAACCCACGAAGCTAGCCGAACTCGAGACCTACCTTAGAAGTATGAGGGAAAAGAAGATCAAGCTTGTCAACGTGGTCCAGGTTATGCTCATTCGCCGGA